ATTGTGAAAAATGTATGATTTTGTATATGTTTTCTTACATTTTGGCGACTAGACACTAATTTTAAACAATTTTTATTAATTTCATGCAGTTCTAACATCGTGAATACTAAACACAAGCTCGAAAGGCTGGTTTTACTTGTGAAAGAAAATCCAATACTCTGTTGGCACGATCTCTGAGAACAAAATCGTAGCGCTGTTGATAGTTTTAAAATATTTTAAATAGATTTGGCTCACAAACGCCTCTTTAGATGGTCGGAACATTTTAATGAATCCGTAGACAAATTTCTTAAATATATTTTATATCAAAATATATTCGAAAGGCTAATAAACTTAAACTCTCTTAAACATTTGCTACTCCTGGCCAGTTTACTAAGCTCTCATCCTCTGACGAATCGTTGAACCAGAACTCGTACTCATTTTACCACGTTTTTATAAACTTGCTTTCTTTTTTACTTCATTTTAATTAGAACAAATTTACATAAATATGTATAAGCACACTATCTGGTTTGCTCGATTTGTAAACAAAGCTTCTCAGCGGTGAAAAATATACTATTGTGAACAACCTAAACGAGCGAAATTCACAATAGCGCTATTCTTCATCGAATGAGCGCCATAATACCAAATGAAAATTCGTTCGCTCAGCACTTTCGACCACAGTCGAAAATCGAACGCAACTCATAATAGGGGCCAAAGTAATTTTTTCGAATATTATCAGCAAGTGGCCAATAGTGAAATTTTCGCTATCCAAATGTCCCAGTGAACAAAAGATATATTCTAACAAGCCCAACGGTAAACTACTGGAAAGTGGTTACGATGCTGTTGATTATGCCGACTACCTAGTAATTATTGTGCCGCGAAAATTCAGTACCACTGTATCAGACGTTATAAGTGTAGATATGCGCGTGGTGTCAAACTGGTGTGCCCATGAGGGCCTCTGCATAAACCCGCAAAAGGCAGTTGAATGCTGGTTCGGCTACCCTTGGGGAAAGAGTGTTTGTCTACGTTGACAAAGTCAAATATCTCGTGGTTATCCTGGATAGGAGAATAAGTTGGGATTTCCATCTAGACAAAACTCTTAGTAAAACCACCTTAGCCATGTGGGTCTGACGAAGACTTTTCGGTCGAACATTGAGCCTAGACTCCTAACTAATAGAATGGCTCTATCGAACTACAGTCCGTCCGATTGTAAGTTATGCCTCTATTGTCTGGTGTCCAAAAATGCTGCCAAAACTGCTGTTTAACATCTGAACAAACTCCAAGGGATGAATCTACTGTCGGTGACAGGAACTACGAGAACGTGTCCAACCACGGCCTTATAGTCGCTTCTACGCTGGACCCCACCGCACATTTTTGTCCAAGCAGCAGCAGCTTCAAGGAATTTGCCAAATTGAGAATGCAAAATTCTGACAATGCTTTTAAAAAGAAGACACAACACAAAGGTGTTTTGAGCAAAAAACCAGGTCTGGGGATCTGCGAGTTCTCAGACGCTAAGCCAAAGGAAATCTGCTTTGGAAGAAAATTCAAATCAAAATTCCAGACCGCGATGTCTGGTCAAATTGCAAACATTTATTGCAATGGCTACTTGGCCCACGGTTTTTCAGGCCGAGGTACTAGCAACCTTAATTTGTGTTAGACTGTACCTTGGGAAGGGTTTAAAAGGCGCGTTTCTAGTATTTTCAGATAGCCAGGCGGCCATAAGGACCCTTTCAAATAGGACGATCACTACCTTTTTGAGATATTAAGGGTATTATCTGAATCTTGCAAACCGGAGAATACTGCAATACTGCAAGACTCGGAGAATACCGCTATTGTGTTTTCTCTATTTCAACACATCCCCGACAATATTTTCCAGCTAAAAAATACAAAATATTTTTTTTTGTTTTCAGTTTCATTCTCATTTATTGCACAAATACAATGTCCATTACTAAAATTTATTTGTTTAATTATTTGAGTAGTAATTTGTGGGTAGTTAATCTAAAAAGGGAGAGAAAAAATGAAAGAACTACATTTATGTATGTATGAATTTATTTTGATTAATGATTAGAATTACATATATTTAGAGATAAATTTAAATTTATGTATACATATGTAGCACTCTCATATAAATAATGCATTACATGTAGAGTTCTCCCATTTCAAATTAGTCACATATACAGTTATATTTTTTTTTTTGTTTTACTTCTAATTTACATGCATACATACAAACATTTTCGCTTAAAATATTTACCCATTTAAATAGGGGAACCGCACACTTAATTTTAAATAGTTATGTTTATATAAATCTACCAAAATATTTATTTATAAAATCAAAACGTTTTAATACGCAAACATACAAAAGTACCACCAAATATATACTGTGTTACCGGCCAAACCCGATCTTAGGACAAACTAGTTTTTTCTGGGCGAAACTAGTTCTATCTAGATCCGATACATCCGTCTAACGCGAAATCAAGTTGGACGCAACAATATTTTTATTTATTTTTTTTTTTTAAGAAAGGAGTTCTATTCAAAAATACTGCGGCGCCTGATCTAGTTTACTCTAGTTTAGCCTAGTCAAAACTAATTTGTCCTATGATCGGGTTTGGCCGATAGCACATACATACATATCTACTTATGCATACATACAATGTTTTTCCAACACTACATATATTCATTATAATTGTTCGAAATTGTACAAATGCAGAATGAAAACCAGAAACAGCGCTGAAAATACCTAAATTTAGCGAAGCAACAAAATGGGAGTGAAACGATGCGCTACGAAAAATCGATAAGTCGATTAAAATTTTATTGCCGCAGAGTTTCGTTTATTAAAAAATGTTGTCCAGTTTTATTATATTTTGCTTGCATTTGCGTTCATCATTATATACATACATATACATTTTATTTCACATATTTTCACTTGTTTCATAAAAATTCACTAAAACTATAACAACAAAGTTTTTGTTTTTATTTGTGAAAGTAAATTCACGATAATTGTGGCAGACTTAACCGTAAAAAAGGCGCGTATTTCCTTGCAAAAATACAGAAAAAATTCTTTTGAAAATTTGCGTTAAGAATATTGTTTTCGCAATGCAATTAGTTTCAGAAAAAATATACTAAAATGATTATTTAAATAAGTAGCCAAATTATAATTTTTTTTTTAATTTGCACTTATGTATGTATGCAAATACATACATGATTATAATTTTCATAGCACTAATAATTATAATAATCATCATCATCATGTGTATTGCCATCATTCAGTTTTAAATGACAATAAAGCAGTATAAATCGAGCTCAACAAAAACGCAAGCCTTCCAATATATTAAAAATATATTTGTATTAATGTATAAAAATTAAATAAATAAGCATTTTACATTTAAAAATCGCTGTAAGAAAAAAATCGCATGCGAGAAAATATGCGCTTGGAAGTTTTACAATTAAATATTAGCTTAACTAATATTAAAAAAAAAATTATATGAATAATCGGTTGCTACATCTTCTATATAGCTCTACTATGTATGCCTGTGTGTATATTTTGTTTCGTTTTCTATAAAAATTATTCCAGCTTTAATACAATTAAATCGCATTAGAGCCGATCTTAGTCTCAGGTCCAAATTCATTTACGAAAAAAATTAAAGTTTCCCAAATCCAGAAGCGCGTACGTCGTACTTCGCCAATATTAATGCCAAATTTCGTCTTCTTTCATCATTGAGTAATATCTATGTTTTGCATTAAGACAAATAATAAAATTTTGTACACCAACACTACTTCATTACTAAATATTTCTTAATTGATTTATAAAAATATTCAGTGAATATAATTTTCACTTGTCGTCATTTCATCTACACATTTTTTTCCTATAAAACTACGAGTAAGGCACAATTGTTTTGTTTCTTGAGTTTTCCGCTATCCCGTTGGCGGCTATTAAAATTATATAAATATTTATATTTACAGCTATGTATTTATTTAGAAAAAAAAACAGTTTATGTTATAAAAGCTTCACACTTCAACGCCATAATTCCGATCGACCACATATTCAAAACGTTGATCCTTTTGATCGTCACTGCTGGGACTGTTGTTGTTCGGCGCTGGCGCTTTAGCTGCCACGGCAGCGCTTGTGCTTGGCGCTAATGATATATTTGTTGCTGTCGCTGTTGCTGTTGCCGTCGATGCGGCGCTGGCGCTGGCGTTGGCAGCCGCGGCTGCAGCTGCAGCTGCAGCTGCTGTGGTTTTCGCTGCATTCAGTTCTCTTCGACTGATCGCTCCACCTGCATGATTCTCATTGAGATTCTTATTTCTATTGTTGCTAGCTACGAGCGCTGTATTGATTGCGATCGCTGTTTCGCGTGCCTTGTCCTCTTCATCGTCTTCCTCTTCGTCCTCATCTTCCTCTTCGATGAGATCGCCATCGGTCAGCACGTAATCGGCACGATCTGGTAACTCGGGCACTGGAAAACCTTTACGTGTGAAGAAGGTCATTTTTTCCCTAAAAACAAAAGATATAAAAATTTAACAAATGGAATTTCAAATTTGGTTTTATTACCAACTACGTTAGTATGTTTTGCAACTATAAAATCTAAATTCTAAATAAAATTGTGCATTAAAAAAATGTATAAAAGTGTATTGCATTCGACTCAGAATAAAAGTTGTTCAGGAAAGTTGCAAGTCGTACCTTTCACCGCGACGGTGGGCGAAATATTCTGCTTAAAATTTTTTAGATTTGGTCACTTTAATTTAACATGGCTTGACTTAAAAAGAGCAATATCGCCAGCTCCAACACAATAGATGGACCTATCCAAGACTTTTGAAACGAAACGAGGTTTCAGACAAGGCGACTCTCTATCTTTTGGATTTCTTTGAGAGAGAATTAAGGTCCGCTCTCGGTCAACAAATCAATGCTTTATAGGTCACTCATCACGACCGTCTTGATGTATGGCGTAGAAGCGTTGACGGAAAGAAAAATTATACGGGACAACTCATACGCTGACGACTGTTCGATATTGGGTATAGCATTGAAGACCTCTGTACGAAAGTACCTTTACCTCTGATAGCCGGCAGTCATATTTTCATGTATATATGCACGCGGCGCCGACATACATCGGCTAATCGCTGGTCTTCACGACGTACCGATGAGTTATAAACGGCATTCATAGGGAAAAGTTGCCCACCTACCACAACTCCCGACCAATTACTGCCATGATCGGAGCCCAATCTCCACCAATTGCAGACTCGGCACTGTTACGGTTACGATATTGTAACCATCTTAACAGCTACTTGTCCAGACCCGACCCCGATATCTCCAATGAGTTTTCGGCATGCGGAGACTCCTCCCACGACAATAATCATCTCTTCACATGTCATTTCGATCCAACTCAGCTAACACCCCTCTCCCTTTGGTCCGACCCCGTCGAAACAGCTGGTTTCTTGCGCCCATCGTTAGTTGAGTTTGGCGACAACGCTCGATGGACAAACCGCGCTCGACTATGTTTTTAGCCTAAGAGATTATCACAATTGGTTTGATAAGACAGTTTCGTATATTTGCTTGTATATCTTTGAAGATTAACCAGGACAGGCTAGAGCGTATCATAAAACCTATTTCGTATTTTAGGATAGCAATCAATTATTTCCATGGAACATGAACTTGTGGCTTTGTAATGGTTTATACTTCAAAATCAGCCAAGTAGCTGCAACTATTACAGCAAAATTTCTGGCGAAAATCCAACCAAATCATCCTTTTACTTTTCTATGAAATTCTGTTATAGTCAAAAAATCGATTTCGCACTCAGATACTAACAACGGTAGATTCGAAATTTTAGAATTATATATAAATGTAAGTCATAATCTAACCAGAGCAGAAATTTCTTATCTAAAATTCATCTGTTTTGCAATTTCATTATAACTACTCGACGTTAGTTAATGTTATCTCCCACTGATAAAAAAAAAGTAAAAATGTAAATTTAGACTATAGCTAAGCCGATGAAATATTAGGCCGTTAGGCGTTATCTGTTAATATTTCAATGTAATTTCTACCTACATGAATTTCCTTACGCGAATTTGTTGTCATACTAAAATCGCCAGATCTGTATGATTTAGCTGATAGGAAATTATAACATTATGTACTCACTTGAACGACAACAAATCGGGTGATCCTTTCGGCACCTTGGTTTTCCGCAGCTTATAAATTTCTTTGGCAGTTTTCATCAAAAGCTTATGCAATTGCTTTTCTTCTGGGCATTTCGCTGGATCAGCACGCTCGACCAAGCGCTGAAACTCTTCATTCTCAATAGCCCATGCGGCAATTAAGGGATCGCGATTATCACGGCCCTTTTCGAGACTAAAAAAAGTAAAGAGAAACAAAAGAAATATTTTGCTTTTAGTAAAACAGTTTTCGGAAATTGCAATCATCTTCGACTTACACTTCCTTTAAGTTCTGCAACTTGGCTATTTGATCGTTTAGGAAATCTAATTTACTATGTTGCGCCTGTAGATCAAGTTCCAGATCCAAACTTGTTCTCGGTATGTGTGTATGACGAAGTTCTGAAAGAAAAAGAAAACAATTAACAACTTTTCAAAAACGCTTTTCTACGCGCACTCCTGCCTAATCAACACTTACTTGTGACTTGTTTGGGCACTTTAGTGTGGAAACGCAGCGAACGTCGCTCCAAAGCGCCACGATGGAAGGGATGCGGCGTAACGCCGAAATGCATAGCCGAATCTGAGTCGGAGCGGTTCAGCCGACAAATGTAGCGATTTTTGTTGACGGCCGCCGAAGGTGTGAAAGTCTGCGAACGTTTTACCGGCCTGTCGTCGGCCATTTGCTGTTGCTGCTGGGAGGCGCGCGACTTTTCGGGTGGAAACGCGCACTCTGTATTAGTTTCTTTGTCGGCATACTCCTGCTTGATTAGGTCGATGCAATTGTATGCTTCCAGCATTTTCTTTGTGAAGTCAGCTAGAGTGAATAACGAAACAATATTAGCGAGACGACACTTCGTAATTGTTTTCAATGCATTCATCTTACCATCTGTCAGTCCCTCCAATTCGTCGTCATCATCGTCGTCGTCCTCATCATCGTCTTCCTCATCTTCGTCATCCTCGTCATTGACGGTCAATTGTTCTTGCATTTCTTCAGTGATTTGCGCCTGCACATCGAACGGTGGCACTTGATTGCGTGTCAAAGTTGACGTTTGTGACGAAGTGATGGTCGATTCATCGGATGACTCCTCCTTGGCGGCGTTTGGTACACTGCCACTAGCGCTAGTTGTGGGCGTATGCTTCGCAGTAGCTGTACTGACGGCGACAGCTGCAGCCGCCGCCGCTGCAGCGGCACTGGCAGCGGCCGCAGCAGCAGCGGCAGCACTCGTCGACGGCATGTCTAGCGGCTCGAAGGTTGGCATAAATTTAGAGCTGAGTACATTATACCACTTGAGTGTGGAATCATCGGGATTGAATTCGGCCATGCTTATCTGTACTGTGCCCTGTGTTGTTGGTGAATGGGAAATAAAAATGTAAAAGGGGAGTCTTTGATATGTAAGCGCAAACTTACGATAATTTCCTCCTTCTGTCCAGTCATGCTGACCACAGTCACCTGCAAGCTCTTCGTCTGCAGTTTACTAAGCGTTATAGGCACGGCAAAAGTGTCGCTAAATACAGGCTTATGAAAGTCCGACATGGCCTTTGTGCGAATCGATGTAAGCGAATTGGGTAGCAAAGCGGCGCGTAAATAACTGTGGAAGTGAAAGAACTCATTAATGAAAAACGCAAGTTACAGCGATTTTATGCGCAACTTACACTTGTGAGCTGTCCGCAGTCGCAGTCCACAACGCTGAAAGATTGTTCGCACGTTCCAGCGAGACGACTAGTACACCCTTCTCCTTCAAATACTTTAAACCAATTTGGACTTGAGCCAACTCTTTGCGTGGTAGATGTGCACGCGACGCTTCAAAAACGCCCGAGTCACCGGCCACCGACTCATTGCTCACTGCCGCCGATACGGAGCGTGTATTCGAGGAGGACGAGGAACGGCTCAGCATTTCTTGCGGCAGATCCAGCAACGATGGCTTCTCAGAAATCGGCGATAGTGGCGCAGCGGCCAGATTTAGTGGCGCGGATAAGTTTAGCTTCTGCAGCTTGGCTTCCAGCACCATGCAGTCCAGCAGCGTCGAGTCTAAATCGTGCGCATGCGTGCGTGCCATAGCGGCAGCCAGCGCTGGGCTCGGTTGGTACAGCGGTGGCAAACCGGCGCCGGCAGGTGTATTGGCATAGGTAGGCTCCTCCTTGAGCCGCTGACTTGCAACCGCCGCCACCTGATCGGGACTGGCATTGTATTTCATGGGTGAAGCGGGTGGTGTTTCCATTGAAAGGCTGCTACGCGGCGATAGCGACAACTCAGATGAGGGTTGCTGCTGCAACTGCGGATGCGCGTGTGCTATCGCATGCGTTTGTGATTGCTGCTGCTGCTGCTGCAGCTGTAATTGCGCCTGGGCGGCTTGCAGTTGTTGTTGCTGGTAGAAACGCTGTGAACGCCGCTGCAGATCGATAACATCAATTTGTGAATCGACAGCGAATGGGTCGATGTAGATGTCGGTGAAGCTGAGCGCGCTCTTGCTGCTTGCCGTCGACAGTGAACCCAGACTAGAACCGCTGCTAATGGAGAATGTACTCTCCGACGAGAATGACTTGAGCCGTTCCTCTAGTTTCTTTGTAGACTTCAGCGCCTCCTGTAACTCGCCCACAAGCAGCTGCTTCTCCTCGTGGAAGCGCAGACGCTTCGCTATGCATTGATTAGTAGCCTCATATGCCTCATTAAGATCCTCCTCGAGTTTGCGACGTGTCTGCTGTATGACGCGCACCTCCTCGGGTGTGCGTGACTCCATTGAAATGCTATTCAAATCGCTAAGGAATTTCTCCTTCTCCTGTATCAACAAAATGCGATCCTTATCGGACTCCAGTTGGCCCGGATCGATGCGTTCCACATGGTCCGCTAGCTGTTGCTGCAACTTCTTTATATGTTTACGCCATTCGGAATACTGTAGCTTTGTCTTGGCCATCTCGGCAAAACGCGCGCCACTATTCATATCGCCAGCGCCACACAAATCTGTCTGCGAGGCGACGCAAACGCGATCAAACGGCGAGGCGGCGTTCATCAACTCAGCATTTTCGTCGTTTATCTGCTGGCGGCTGAGTTCATTCTTGATCTGCACCAAACTGCGCATCAACTCTTCGCGCACCTTCTCACCCGACACCAGCGACTTGTGCACTTTGAGCATTTCCTCGCGTATGGCCTGCACTTCGGCGATATCGTAGCAGCCATTTTGGCGCGCATTTATCTTCTCGCCCACCGAGTGCAGCGTATTCATACCGCGCTGTGTGTAGCTAATGTCGTGTGTGATGTGCTTCAGCTCCTGCTTCAGCAGACGCACTCGCTCCTTAGCCATGGCGAGATCGGCGCGCAGTAACTCGGGATCGTGGCGACTCATTGAGCTAGAAGAGGAACACACTGCAACGGAGAGAAATGGGTAGTAATAATAGGTAGTGACATTAACTGACTGTACATTTTGGGCATGGACAGAAGGATACTTACAACTACTTCTGCTCGCCGCCAATTTATTCAGGTGATTGTACTCTTCTTGCGCTATCTGCAAGCGCTGTTGCTTAATATCATACATTTCGCGCTTGTTTTCTAATTGATCTTGCGCCGCTGAGAGATAGTCACGCAACATTTGCTCCTGCACACTTTTCCATTCCTGCCGCGGATCCTCCAGCTGCGTAGTCTGTTCAATGTGATTGATGTAGTACCGGCCAATGTGCGGATCGTATGCTTCCTCCCAGCCGTGCGGCAGTTCATCGCCGACGCAATCTTCGAACGACTGTGGTTTAGTATAACTGGAAGAGTATGAAAAACGGAAATGCTTATTAAATGAGGCAAAAGATGTCGTCTTACATATTCATTAGTTATATTTATCTATATTTAATGCATACATATATCTAGCTTTGTAAATATTTTCCTGCTCTAAGCTATGGCCTAGTATCGCAATTGTAATCACCAACTTCCGGCACCATACGCGCCACACTGATGAGTGTGATGGTCTTCGGAAATCACTTACGGCCACGACAAAGTACAGATAAGTCGCCAACCAGTTAAGTGGCTATTTTGTCCGTTGCCTGGCATACTTGATTAGCTATTAGGCGACGGCACAGCGGCGCAGTTGCGCGTGGGGAAACTTGTTTCGTTTGGCGCTTGACTCATAAACTCACCCATTTCCCACGCTATTCCAAGTGCACACAACATTTTACATACACATGATACATATGTATGTATGTATGTATGTATGTAGATAAACGCGCTAACTAACTAAGTAATGGCATTTGCTTGTTCGTTGATTGTCCGGCGATCGGCTGGCAATACTTAATCATGCAAATTCATTCAAGCCACTAGCGTGCACACGCATACATACATATAAGAGCACATCCAAACGTTTGTTGGTATGTGTCGACGAAAAAAAAAAATGCTCGGTATTTTCAAAAGTCAGCAGTAATAAAAAGCGTACTCGCATAAGACACGCCTGCAGTTGGTTTTTAAATATTTACTTTCAGCATTTTTGCTAGCAAATATTTTATAAAATTTATAAAGCATACAAATATTGCGGGTAAGGATAGTCAGTTGAAAAAATACAAATACTTAGCGCAAGTGTCAGGAGATAGAGACTCGAATATGTATGTATGCACATTAGGGCGGGTCATATTTTTTTTGTCTATGCGCGTATGGCGTGTAATTCTAAGCAAATTTGCTGAAGAAACCGTGGCTCAAGAATCAATTTCTTAACGAGATTACAGCAAATGCTATTTATTTTCGTAATTTGGCCAACTCCGAATTGATTTTAGACGCATGGTCTCTTCGGAAAATTTTATAAGAAATTACGCGTAGAATCCGCTGTGCTATACCCGCATAGTCGAAAAAATCTCCCATACAAATTGATCCGCCCTAATGTATGTACATACATACGCAAATAGCAATGAAATCATAAATTTAAAAGCATACGCATATACATATGTATGTACATAAATATATACAAATATTTCTATTCTATATGCTTCTAGATTATATCCGTACAATATGAGCTTGCAAGGCTATATGCAAATACATAAAAATTACAATATTCACATTATTATATGAAATCAGTTGCTGCTGTACGTAAACCTAACGAAAAGTTATGTGTTAACAAAATATAATAATATTTTCAAGGAAAAGAAAAAAAATTTAAAACACCAAAAACAAAGAATAACTTGTCGCACAAATTTTATTTCAAATCTTCAGGCATTCGACAGTCCTAAGTAGAGAACATAGAGGTTTCTGTAAATCTTCATGATTTGGTAAGCTTCGTTGTACACTAAAGATAAACACTAAGAAATGCCCATCTCTCGCTTTTGCTGCTAAAAGTTTGTTTTAAGAATTTTTGTCAAAAACTTATAGCCCATTTCCACCATAAACATAACTGCGGTTGAAGAAAAATATCTTTTATTCAAAAAGTTACTGGCTTATCTAACTGCCGTCGTACTTCATGCTGTAAAATTAAAAACAAGAAAATAATTTAAGGCCAACAATGTTTTAAGAACTTGGAGTTACTGAATTTTATTTTTGGTATCAAAATACATATTTCATTTTTTGCCAACAGTTTTTCTTTGCAATAAAGCAGGACATTATATATGTACATATGTACATATACTACATCTATGTATGTATGTAAATTAAATATTATATCTTGGATTACATACCACATGTTTTTAATGCTACAAAATTTTGACGTTTCGATTCGTCACCATATTTAATGACTCCATTGTTAATTATGTCAAAATTTCGACATGTTGACAACCTTATGACTGGCTATCACCGAGTGACAGGTTAAGCTCTTGAGTAATAGTTTTCAAGCATTCAGAATATGGTATGTCTATACGTACACACATACATACATAAGTACATAAATAAATATCGCTATTGTGATGGAAGAACGTAATCCACCTTAAAAAAACGCCCGCTTCGAAAATTGTTAGTGCATTGTTTCCCTTTGTTTGCAGCCGCATAAATGAATCTACATAGCTACATAGATATTAGGTATGTAGGTATGTATGTATTTGTTACCGGCCAAACCCGATCTTAGGATAAACTGGTTTTGCCTAGGCTAAACTAGATCAGGCGCAACAGCTTTTTCGAGCAGAACTCCTTTCCGCGTAACTGGCTTCAAAAAATAACCCTCATTAGTCCAACTCTAACTACGCAGTCCACAATATCGTTGCGTCCAACTTGATTCCGCATTGGATGGATGTATCAGATTTAGTTAGAACTGGTTTAGCCTAGGAAAAACTAGCTTGTCCTAAGATCGGGTTTTGACAGTAACATATATATACATTGTATAGCAAAATGCTTAGCATGAAATGAGAAATTAAATTAATCGAAAAATGTAAATGTATGCAAATTGTTGAATATTAGTATGTGAAATAGAATTTTGGCATAAACTAAGACAATTACGAAATTTTTGGAAAGCGTCCATTGCCCCGCACCCTTATAATGAAATGCTGTAACTTAGTAACTGCTTCACCAACCACCAGAAACTAGTGAAAAACGGTATTTAATATCTACGTGAGAGGGGTAGATATATGTATAAAGTTCCGTTTTGCTTTATATTTGTATATTCGTTTGCTGTGCGTAAAGTAACAGAAAATGTTCACGGTTTCATTCCCTCTCTCAAAACGCTATAAGCGCGGAAAGTTATTAAAACACAAAATACGAATTAAAAAATTATGCAAATATCAGAAAAATAAAGTTAAATATAAAGGGCATGATCACTTAAAAGCAAAAGTCAATTTCGCAGAAATTAATTTCGCTCACACTGTTGTAACTGCTTGTATGTTTGTTTGTAAGAACATCTTACACAAGAGAAGTCACTGTAAGCCATAGTCCCTTTTTGTTTTTAATTTTGTAAAACTATATGTAAGTACCTATGTATGTGTTTGTAGCTGTACACTGCTTAAAAACACGCAAACCTGTTGCCATTTCATTTTGATGGCTTACATAACCGCAACAAGTTGCGTTGTCATCATTATCGACAATGAACTAGAATTCGGCTACTACCGAAAATATGTATATAT